AGATGCCGGAGTCGAAGAAAAAGAATTGGAAAAAATCATGAAATATCGTGCCCTGGCCATCGAAACTACGCAATTATGGATGAAACATGTAACTGTGATATTCATTGTCATTGGGGCACTTGGTACCATGTCCAAGAATTTTACAAAACACATCAAGAAATTGCAGCTTCCTGCAATAACACCAGCGGAAGTGCAAAAAACTGCGCTACCTGGAACATCGTACATCTTAAGAAGGTACTTGGTTGACCCCTAGGATGCTGGCAGCAACCTGTATCAACCATTAGCACCAGTCAATGGTATTTGTGATGCATTTTTGAATGTTCAGTTGACTTGAATTTCACGTTTAATGAACAAAGTAAATATAAAATACCCCAAAATAATACCACCCAATTCTCTGGAAAAGAACAAAGGAAAAATATAAACAAAAGTTTTTTTTTAAAAATACACAGACAGCCAATTCCCTAGAAAAGAATACAAAAGGAAACTAGAAACAAAAAAAACCCACCCGATTCCCTTGAAAAGAACACACAGAGTAGAAAGAGAAGTTTTGAAAAAGGGTATGACGAATGACTAAGCATCACAAGCAAAACAGAAAAAAAAAAATACACTTACACACTTCAGTGGCTTTTGCAACCAGGTCAAGTTCCGGATATATGAATTATCCATCTTGAATTTTTAAATTATTATTACCCTATTGAAAGCTCTTTGGAGTCTAGGCAGACAGCAAATGCATCGTAACTTCATGAGAAATGTATTTATTAAATGTATTTTTCTCTTGCCTTCATTACTTTATAAGTTACTCAAAGGAGCTAACGTATGTAACCCTCCTTCCTCTTCCTATTTTCCCAACAACAATCTTGTGAGGTAGATTGGGCTGAAAGAGAGAGAGAGTCATTGGCTCAAAATCACCCAGCTGGCTTTCATGCCTAAGGCGGGGCTAGAATTCACAGTCTCCTGGTGACTGGCCCAAAGTCACCCAACTAGGTTTCATGCCTAAAGCAGGACTAGAATTCACTGTCTCCTGGTGATTGGCCCAAAGTCACCCAACTAGGTTTCATGCCTAAAGCAGGACTAGAATTCACTGTCTCCTGGTGATTGGCCCAAAGTCACCCAGCTGGCTTTCATGCCTAAAGCAGGACTAGAACTCACCGTCTCCTGGTGATTGGCCCAAAATCACCCAACTAGGTTTCATGCCTAAAGCAGGACTAGAATTCACTGTCTCCTGGTGATTGGCCCAAAGTCACCCAACTAGGTTTCATGCCTAAAGCAGGACTAGAATTCACTGTCTCCTGGTGATTGGCCCAAAATCACCCAGCTGCCTTTCATGCCTAAGGCGGGGCTAGAATTCACAGTCTCCTGGTGACTGGCCCAAAGTCACCCAACTAGGTTTCATGCCTAAAGCAGGACTAGAATTCACTGTCTCCTGGTGATTGGCCCAAAATCACCCAGCTGGCTTTCATGCCTAAGGCGGGGCTAGAATTCACAGTCTCCTGGTGACTGGCTCAAAGTCACCCAACTAGGTTTCATGCCTAAAGCAGGACTAGAATTCACTGTCTCCTGGTGATTGGCCCAAAATCACCCAGCTGCCTTTCATGCCTAAGGCGGGGCTAGAATTCACAGTCTCCTGGTGACTGGCCCAAAGTCACCCAACTAGGTTTCATGCCTAAAGCAGGACTAGAATTCACTGTCTCCTGGTGATTGGCCCAAAATCACCCAGCTGCCTTTCATGCCTAAGGCGGGGCTAGAATTCACAGTCTCCTGGTGACTGGCCCAAAGTCACCCAACTAGGTTTCATGCCTAAAGCAGGACTAGAATTCGCTGTCTCCTGGTGATTGGCCCAAAATCACCCAGCTGGCTTTCATGCCTAAGGCGGGGCTAGAATTCACAGTCTCCTGGTGATTGGCCCAAAGTCACCCAACTAGGTTTCATGCCTAAAGCAGGACTAGAATTCACTGCCTCCTAGTGATTGGCCCAAAGTCACCCAGCTGCCTTTCATGTCTAAAGGAAGACTAGAACTCTCTGTCTCCTGGTGATTGGCCCAAAGTCATCCAACTGGCTTTCATGCCTAAGGCAGGACTAGAATTCACCGTCTCCTAGTTTCTAGGCTATCACCTTAACCGTTGCAGCAATCTAGGCAACGTGTTAATCATCAGAACACCCAACCACCCCCATGCTCGTCCTTTGAATCTCCTGCCCAAATAAGCCCCAGAAACCCAATATCCCCAGCTACGCCTGACTAGAACTCCCAGAAGGCCAGTAAACCACAAGCAAGGACCACAGCCTGCCTTCCCAGCGGCAGGAAGGTTGCACACCAACACATGCTGCTAGAGAACGCAACTTTCCTAGGGAGGTTGGAATTATGCTCCGGAGCACAATCCCAGCGAAGGTTGGGGATTAAAGGAGATTATAGGAATCTAATTTTGCCATTGTCGACTCGGGATCAAAGGAGAGCGAGTACAAATTGCGGCAACCTGGTGCATCTACTTATGAAATAATTGTCGGTTTTGTGCCTGTGAAACAGGGGTGGGGTCTTGGATCAGGCAGGTGCAAGCGCCCTCTTGACCTGTTTCGGCCTTTCGATCCGAGGAATAATTTGTGGCGTTGAACCCAGGAATCGCTCCGTATCGGACATCTTCTGCTTGAATTTGGGCCATAGAAAGGGATTGTTGCTTTTTTTTTGCATTGGGGGGCTACGTCAATGTTTTAAACGAATAAATATCAATTTATTTATTTATTTATTTATTTATTTATTAATTATTTATTATTTATTTATTTATTTATTTATTTATTTATTTATTTATTTATTTATTTTTAAGCATTGGGAAAGTGCCTAGAAAGCGTTTCGGCCTTGCAAGCCGTACGTTTAACCAAGTTAGAGCCTGGTTTAGGAATTGCATTCCCACAAGATATTATAAACTCGGTTAAGTGTTGACCTTGGATAGTTCTTTCGGGTGATTTGGGCTGGTCCTCGACTTACGACCACAATGGAGCCCAGATTTTCTGTTGTTAAGCGAGACCTTTGTTCAGTGAGTCTCGTCCCATTCTACGACCTTCCTTGTCGCAGCTGTTAAGCAAATCAATGCCGTTCTTCAGACGGTTGTTAAGTGAATCTGGCTTCCCCCCATTGGCTTGGCTTGCCAGAAGGTTGGAAAAGGGATCACGTCACACACACACACGGGACACTGCAGCCGTCATAAATACGAGTCATTTGTCACGTGAGATGCTGCAACGGTCGTACGTGCGAAAAACGGTCGTGAGTCACTTTGAACCGTCACTAAATGAACTGTTGTAAGTTGAGGATTTCCTGCGTGTGGTTAAAAACTCTGACTGCACACTCGTATCCAACAGGTAGTCCTCGATTTACGACAGTTCATTTAGTGACCTGTTCGAAGTTACAACGGCACTGAAAAAAGTGACTTACGACCGTTTTTCATACTTACGACCGTTGCAGGCCACGTGATCAAAATTCAGCCGCTTGGCAACTGCCTCGTATTTATGACGGTTGCAGTGTCCCAGGGGTCACGTGATTCCCTTTTGCGACCTTCCGGCATGCAACACCAATAGGGAAGCCGGATTCACTTAACAACCGTGTTACTAACTGAACAACATCAGTGATTCATTTAACAACCGTGGCCAGGAAGGTCCTAAAATGGTCCTAAAATTCATTTAACAACTTTCTCGCTTCTCGCAAAGCTCAAATCACCCGAAAGATCTAACCAAGGTTAATCAAGTTAATATATTGGGGGGGCGGGGAATGCAATTGTTAAATCAGGATCTGACTTGGTTAAATGTACGGCTTGCCGGCCAAAACACTTTGTGCATTTTCCCAATCCAGTAGCAAGGTTTAAAAACGCATTCATTTCTTATTTTAAATAAATATTGATGCATTTAAAACAATTTACAAAGCCGCCGATGCAAAAAACATTTCTGCAGCCCAAATTCAAGCAGAAGATGTCCTAATTAACCTAATAATTAACACATTTCAACTAATTACCGGTAGGATCGAGCATCTAACCAAGCCCGGCGGGCTTAAATTGTATGGCCTGGGTTCCATTCCACATTGCTGTTTACCTTTTCAATTTTGCAAATAAAATGATTAGCCAAATTTAAAATGCAGAACGCCGGCCATTAATAACTCGCGTTGTAGCAGCAAACAAATTTAATATACAAACAAATAAAACATTTCTCTCATCCCAGCCTACCTCGCAGGGTTGTTGCATGGGAAATAGGAGAATTAAGGTAACCTCACTGCGTTGAGTTGTACATATCAAAAAGCAGAATAAAAATATGAAATAATAATATCAGCCTTGAACATTGGCTCCACCTGTTATCTGTTACAGGTAGTCCTCAACTCACGGCCACAATTGAGGCCAACATTTCTGTTGCTAAGCGAGACCGATGTTAAGTGAACTTTGCCTCGTTTTGCGACCTTTTGCAACCTTTTTATGACCGTTTTTACCACAGTTGTTAAGTGAACCACTGCAGTTGTTAGGTTAGTTCCACAAGTTGTTAGATGAATCTGTCTTCATATACAGGTACGTAGTCCTCGATGTACAGCCACAGTTGAGTCCAAAACTTACGTTGCTGAGTGAAAAATTTGTTAAGCGAGTTTGTCCCATTTTACGACTGTTCTTGCCGTAGTTGTTAAGTGGATTTCTGGAGTTGTTATGATAGTAATGGTGCAATGGTGAAAAATGGGTCATTAGTCATTTTTTTTAACAGTGTTGTTGTAACTTTGAACGGTCATTAAATGAACCGTCATAAATTGAGGACTATCCGTAATCTTGTCTAATTCAAGGAACTTTATCAAACTGTGGTCTGGTGGTTATGTTTTCCTGCCTTTTAAGAAATAAATTGAATTTTTAGTCGAGATGCATTGCAACCGTATTAAATATCACAGCTTCAGATTTTACGGGATAGAACAAAAGAGAGCAAAAAAAAAAAACTCCTGAAAGAAACAGAAAAAAATAAGCAGAAAGACAAAAAAAGAAAAAAGAGTTTTTCTTCAGAATTGGACAACCCTGTATATTTTTTATTTGATAATAAATCCCTTTAAGTTCAGAAAGGAACATTTTTACGGAAATGAGCACAAAAGGCGAAACAATGATGATTAATTCACCCATCAATTTGATTGTTCAGGTTAAATTAAGCATATTGTCTCCCACATGCTTTAAAAGCTTGCTTTTTTCCCTTGCAGTCCTACCTAAAATATATAAATATATATTGCACGACACAATTGTTCCTCTTGGTGAAGGACAAGGAATCTCCAATGCCTTGCAGACGCAGGTAAAGTCAAAAAAGTCAAAATGGCAGCCACGACGGCCCAATTGAAACTCCGCCCATCACAGAAGCCCCTTGTGGTCTTCACTTCTGTCCGTCAAATTCGCGACCCAAAAAGAAAGAAAAATGGGAGATTTGCTTGGAGACCCTGGACGAAAAAATTGGGGTGTCTCTGGAATCCTGCTTGAACTCCGAGATCTGTTGGTATCAAATAAATGCATTATTTGCTTATAATTGAGAAGTGTGCCATTCGGAACAAACACAGTTTTGGGAAAAAAAGAGGAAAGTAATCCCGTTTATTTAATTTATCTGTCATCCATCTCTCTATCCAGCGACACTGGCAGCTTACAACATCATATAAACTAGAATAAAAACTAGAATTAAAATGAAGAAAAATTGGGCTTGGGTTAGACATATATGCCTAGGCACGTTGCCCTATCATACGTTGAAATAAATATATCATACATGCACCCCTACAATAAATGCCCGAAACTTTGAGACCAGGAGCCTTTAAGTAAAAGTGACTTACGACCGTTTTTCACACTTACGACCATTGCAGCACCCCCCCGAGTCACGTGATCAAAATTCAGAAGCTTGGCAACTGGCGTGAACTTATGACAGTTGCAACCCAGGATCATATGTTCCCATTTTGCGACCTTCTGACAAGCAAAGTCAATGGGGAAGCCAGATTCACTTAACAACCGTGTTACTCACTTAACAACTGCAGTGATTCGCTTAACAACAGTGGCAAGGAAGGTCATAAAGTGAGACAAAACTCACTTAACAACCGTCTCAGTTAGCTATGGAAATGTTGGGCTGTTGCCGTTAAGTTGAGGACTTTAAATTAAAAAAAAAATAGATCAATTTAAATAAATAAAATCTGTCACTCAGAATCACTCAGGACAGCGGCATATAAATTGAATCAAGAAATAACTAAAAAGGGATAAAAATGTGAGGCCCACTAAAAGATCAATTATTTTTGGGAATTGCTAAACCTTGAAATGGAGGCATTCCTAAAGTAAGGAGGGGGCTCCCTCGTTAACAGGGTCCCGGGTTCAAATGGCGCACAACTGACGAATCTTTTTGAGAATGTTTTAAAAATATTTTTGCAAGAACTTTTGCAGGAAAGGCCCGGCCAGAGAACAAATCTGGTTTCAATGTTGTTGTCAGCTGAGATTCATCTGCGATAAGGCAGTTCTGGAGAAGTAGCTGAGAACGCTGCAGCCTCATTCTTTCCTCCCACTTCTTATGGGTTGCAATAAGTGTTTTCTCAACATTGAAAGCTTTCCCACGTGTGGACTTCAACTCCCAGAATTCCTCCGGCTGCTCCTAATTCTACCACAATACAGCAGTGTGTCTCAATTTTGCCAGCATTAAAATAGGTGGAGTTCAACTCCCAGAATCCACCCATCTTAAAGCATTGCTGGCTAGGGAATTCTGGGAGTTGAAGTCCACCCATCTTAAAAGATACCGGCTGGAGAATTCTGGGAGTGGGAGTCCACCCATCTTAAAGCATTGCTGGCTGGGGGATTCTGGGAGTTGAAGTCCACCCATCTTAAAGCATTGCTGGCTGGGGAATTCTAGGAGTTGAAGTCCACCCATCTTAAAAGATACCGGCTGGAGAATTCTGGGAGTGGGAGTCCACCCATTTTAAAGCATGCTGGCTGGGGAATTCTGGGATTCGAAGTCCACCCATCTTCCAGTATTTGAGGGGCTGCCCCAGAGAGGAGGAAGGGGGTCAATCTGTTTTCCAAAGCAAATGAAGGCCAGACAAGGAATAATGGATGGAAACTGACCAAGGAGAGATTCAGCTTGGAAATAAGGAGGAATTTCCTGACAGTGAGAACAATCAACCCATGGAAGAGAAGTTGCCTTCGGAAGTTGTGGGAGCTTCATCCCTGGAGGCTTTCAAGGAGAGACTGGACTGCCCTCGGTCAGAAATGGTGTGGGGTCTCCTGCTTGGGCGGGGGGTTGGACTAGATGACCTACAAGGTCCCTCCCAACTCTGTTAATCTGAAATTAAAATTTTCTGCCGGTTAAATATTTCCACCCTTTTTGATGCCTCTGAAAAAAAATGACCAAGGGAATCACTTTTCAGAACTGGCTTCATTATGGTGAAAAGCAATAGCTGAAATAAAAATGGCAGGCTGGGCTGCTGCAGCTGAAAATGAAAATATGAGTCAAAAATCTGTTTCGAAAGGTTTATTGTGTAAGTTATAGAGCGACTTACGAGGAGGGGAAAACCCCGGGACATTCAGTGTCTGTGACTTGATGAATTCAGTGATATGAATTAATCATACGGCCGTACGGGGAGTCCTCGACTTATAACCATTCATTTAGTGACGGTTCGAAGCCGGTCTCTCTTGATTTTATGATTTTATGGTTGATTTTAAATTTTGATATGGATTTTAAATTGATAAATTTTAAACTATGGGCCAAATTTAATTATTTTAAATCTATTTTTAATCGTACTTTATGTATAAATGTTTTATTTTGGCTGTTCACCGCCCTGAGTCCGAAAGGAGAACGGCGGTATAGAAATTTGAAAAATAAATAAATAAATAAATAAATAAATAAATAAATAAATAAATGAATAAATAAATAAATAAATAAATAAATAAATAAAATGGCGCTGAAAAAAGGGACCAAAGACCATTTTTCACACCTATGACCATTCCGGTCTCATGTGATTTACATTCGGATGCTTGGCAACGGACTCACATTTATGACCGTCGCGGTATCCCAGAGTCACGTGATCCCCTTTTGCGACCAGCAAAGTCAATGGGGAAGCCCGATTCGCTTAACAACCGTGTTACTCACTTAACAACCGCAGCGATTCACTTAACAACCAGGGCGAGAAAAGTTGTGAAATGGGGCAAAACTCACTTAAGGCATTTCTCACTTAGCAACATAAACTCTGGGCTCAATTGTGGTCGTAAGTTGAGGAATGCCTGTTCGTGATTGGATGGATGGGTATCAAAGATTTATGATTACGTGCGCTAAATCCATCAGTGCTTGGCGACAGGTGTCAGTCAAGAGAGGCACATTTTGAATAAAATCTGGATGGATTTTCCCTCTCTAGCCCTCTCAAAAATTTTCAATGTCATAAAAACCTAACGAAGAGGAACAAGCCCAGAAAATCAGAAATAGAGAAACAAGGGAAAAAAGGGAACAAAAACAGAAATTGTAGAAATTGTGGCCTTTGGCCCAGCTTTCTATTGAACAATTGTCATCTGAAACTTTTTCCAAGTCCTCTAAATCTCATTTTTAATCTCCAAATCCTGAAATGCTCAATTCAGGGTTGTTTCTTTTTTCTTCTTTCAGAAAAAAAGTTTATATCAGGTTTCGGTCTTTTTTTTTTGTTTTTTAAAGTCTTTATGATTTTCTCTGTGACCGAACTGGTCAGTTTCACTACCTCTGCAAGTTCTGACAGTTTTAAAATCCTGTCTTCCACTCTAGGCTGCTTTTCCAATGTTTGGCATTGCAACAATCTTGCTGCGGTTACCGTGTACAATATTAATTTCCTATATTCCTTTTCCAATTCCTCTTTCCTAAAATGTAATTTTGGTTTCATCATGATGTTGGTCTGTACTAAGGTTTGCACGATAGTACAAAATTAAAGAGCTTCTAAATTCAGGTTCTAGGAACAGAGAAACCTGCAAAAATAAAAGATCATAATTGCTTGGAGTTGGGTGGCACATAAATTCAATATTATTATTGTTGTTATTGTTGTAATCCTAGTTAGATTCACAGCCTAAGACTGGTGGAAATTGAATAATTCCAGTCCTAATCAAGGACCTAAGAATTATTAAGGTAATCTTAAGAATATAAGCGATTCCAAGCTAAGTTTTACCCTGTTTTCCCCGAAAATAAGACCCTGTCTTATATTTTTTTGAACCCTGAAATAAGCGCTTGGCCTTAATGCCATGCACTCAAAAGCCCGATTGGGTTTATTATCAGGGGAGGTCTTATTTTGGGGGAAAACAGGGTATTATTTTTTTGGTAAAACAAGGGTGTTATTTATTTGTTTGTTATTTTTATTATTATGTTAATATGCATAGTAAGCCCATGTTTGTTATACCATAAGTATGCATGGAAATATGCATAAAAATGCTGAATAAATACATAAATTATTATGGTTCGTTGCACAACCAGATGTTTAGGCTAGATTCGGCATTTCTGACCACCTGTCTGTATTCCCAAGGCAGATGTGGTTGTTAAAGGACTCGCTACTATTTTATGTTTTTCATTTTTATTGTATTGTATTTATTATTTTATTATTAGTATTATTATTGTAGTCCATCAGCCATATGTTTAGACTGGATTGAACTATAAAAAAACAGCTAGTAAATAAACAATTATGACACTGTCTCCTGGACACTTCCAACGTTAAAATTACATTCTCAAAAATACATCGCAATATTAAAAGTGCATTCGTATTGCATTATTAAAAAGCAAGGGATATCTTTTTTCCTTGCCCCGCTCTAAAACCAAGGAAATCAGTAGGTTTATTTCTGGGGAAGGGTCCTCTCAATTTTATTTTTTCATAATCATGGGTCTGCAGTTTTGCAGAGTTTAGAAACCTTCCCCTAAACGGCTCTTTTCTGAGAGGTTTTGCGTGGCATGAATTGATATTTCCGGATATCAATCTTACTTTGGGGGTCTGGAAGAAATTGGATAATCCCGCAGTTGGATGGAGATAGCGAAGGAATGAAAAGCAAAAAAATTCCCCATCAGATTTGCTGGTTACGAGGTTGCAGGTATTAAATTAACCAGTGGAACAACTTGCCACCAGAAGCTGTGCTCCATCACTGGAGATTTTTTAAAGAGGAAACTGGACAGCTACCTGTCTGAAATGGTAGAGGATCTCTTGCTTCGGCAGAGGGCTGGACTAGAAGACCTCCAAGGTCCCTTCCAGCTCTATTCTGATGAAATTAAATTAAATGGCAGGATGAAAGCTTTGCAGCCATCGATGGTCTTCCAGGAAAAAAAATAACAATTGTGACAGGGGGTCTTTTATTCCGTGGTGGATCAGACAAATATCAAAGCGCATTTACCTGTTAGTGCAATGCTACAGATGTGTTTCACTCAGCCACAAGATCATTTTGCAGATCAAACAAATATCAAAAATTACAACAAACAAACATTAACCTGATAATGCGATGCTGTAGAGGCATATTTCGCTCAGCCACAAAATCCCTTTGCAAACGCTTGGGTGCCTTTCACTTCTGCAACTCCGTCACTTTCTCTTTGTAAAGGTGCAATTGTGTGCAGACCGAGGTGAGCATCACAGCCAAACTTTCACAAACGGGGCTCGGAGAGGGGAGGGGGAAAAAATCAGCCTCCTCTTTGATGGGTCATTTACATGTATTAATTGGTTCTCCGCTGCGATTCGTGCCGGACCGGTCTTAAAAATTCAGAGTTTCTGTCAAAAAAAAAAAAGGAAGAAGAACAAATTGACTTTCCAGAAACAAAACCTTGCTAGAAATGAGCAAATGTCTCCCCAGATGTTGATAAAATTTCATGCTTTCCTTTTGAATGTGTCTGACTTTCAATGCAGTAATAATAAAGATAATAATAATAATAATAATAATAATAATAATAATAATAATAATAATAATAATAATAATAATAATATGGCAGTACAGGTACTCCTTCACTTATGACCACAATTGAACCCAGTATTTATGCTGTGAGACATTTGTTAAGTGAGTTTTGCCCCGTTTTACGACCTTTCTTGCCACGGTTGTTAAGTGAATCGATGCAGTTGTTAAATGAACAACACGGTTGTTAAGTGAATCTGGCTTTCCCCATTGACTTTGCCCGTCAGAAGGTTGCAAAAGCAGATCACGTGACTGCGGGACTCTGCAACCGTCATAAATAAATAAATGTTTTAATTGGTAGTGAATTTTAATTGGGCCAAATTTATATATCTTTTAATTGTTTTTTAATATTTGTCCTGCATGTTTTTTAATTCTGGCTGTACACCGCCCTGAGTCCTCAGGGAGAAGGGCAGTATAGAAATTCAATAATAAATAAATAAATAAATAAATAAATAAATAAATAAATAAATAAATAAATAAATACAAGTCAGTTGCCAAGCATCTGAATTTAAAGCACGTGGTTGTGGGAATGCTTCCACGGTTGTAAGTGTGGAAAACGGTCACTTTTTTCAGCGCCTTATGGTCACTAAACGTACCGTTGTAAGTCGAGTCTATCTGGAGAGAGCAGAAGAGAAGAGAAAGAACTGGAGAAGATAAAAGAAATCCTGAAAATTGTAGTAGAACGACTGTGGCAAAAGAAAGCAAAGAGGTTGTACCAATAATAAGAGGCACCTTGGGTGCAATCCCAAAACATCTGGAGATTCACTTGAACACCAGCGGCATTGACAAATTCACCATCGGTCAATTGCAAATGGCAGCTCCACTTGGAACAGCTTCCATCCATCCCAGCAACCTGCAACACTATCAAACCACAACATTTGCCCATCCCAAGTCCTTGGGAAGGACTCGAGAGATGGATAAAAATGTGAAATCTGGCCTACACATCTGGCTGACTGTGTAACAGAACCACTTGAGCTCCAGTGGCATTGACAAAATCCCCATCAATCAATTGCAAAAGGCAGCTGGACTCAGAACAGCTGACATCCTGCAATGAGATCCTTAACCCCATCCAATATCCACTTGGAAAGAACTCGATAGGTAGATAAAAAAGCCAAATCCAGTCTAAATAGTTAGTTAACTAGGCACTGAACCATAATAATAACAACGGGGGGCATTGACAAAAATCGCCGTCAGTCAATTGCAAAAGGCAGCTTCACTCAGAGCAGTTTACGTCCTGCTAGGAGATCATGGACACCCTCAAACATCCACATCTGGTTATCCCAGTCCTTGGCAAGGACTCGATAAGTGTACGAAAAGGCCAAATCCAGTCTGAACATCTGGTGCGGGCTGTGCAATCAACAACAATCATGCAACCTCTCAAACCCCAACGGCATTGACAAAATCCGCATCGGTCAATTGCATAAAGGCAGCTTGACTAGGAACAGCTGACAACCCTTTCAAATATTATTAGACAACATCTGTCTATCCCAGATCCTTGGGCAGGATTCGCCAGGTGGACAAAAAAAATGCCAAAAACTTCTGGCTGACTCTGTGACCCACAATAACAATAACCCCTTGAACAGCTGCCCTTGGCCAAATCAGCACGAGTCCTTTAATAACATTGCATTAAGCAACATCTGCCTAAGTCCTTAGGAAGGGCTCGATAGGTAGATTAATGTGCCGAATCCAATCTAAACGTCTGGCTGACTGTGCTAACAAACCGTCATTTATTCAAGATATATATTGCCTGACCTCCAGTGTGGTTGTTTCTTCCCAATGCCCCTTAACCATGGAAGCTCTTTCCAATCTTTGCAAACAAGCATTAAATCATCCCAACAGTTGTAATTCAAAAACCAGTTTAAGTGTGTGTGTTTGTTTTTTTTAAGCTGCTGCTTGCCCACAAGCCCATGTCGGCTTGTTTGGGGTTTGACCTGTCGTGTGAACCCAGCTATGCTCGTCAGTGCCCATTCCGACATCCCAGGCCATTGCATTCAATGAGTTAATACACTGGTTGAATCCTGGGATGGTCGGCAGTCCTCCGGAGCTGGCTGTTGAGGGAGCCAAGTTAAAACGGAAGGCATTCGAAGCTGAAAATGAAAGTTTTAAGCCTGGAGGCAACTTTTAGCAAAACAAGGCCACCGAACCAGCGAGTTTTATTCCTTGCAGGGAAGGATGGATAGCTTGGACAGGCCCTTGAAAAGCCAGACATACCTGTTTAAAAAGATCCACCTTGACTTTTGAGGATTTGATGTGTAGCTTCCAAGGGCCGATTCCCTCCAGTTATTTATTTATTTATTTATTTATTTTTGCACCGTAGCCTGTTAAAAATATTTCGGGCTACGTGGTAGCCCAGCAAAATCAAAGCAGCTGGGTTAAAAGGAATTTTTTATTTCTAAAAAAAAAAAATAAAATTAAATAATGTATTTGATTTGTGTTTCTCTGCATTGGTAACTTTTGCATAGTTTTAAGAGGAAGAGGAGTCCGCAGGGGGAAAATTCGAGGCATGAAAATGAACATTCTAATTTGCCTTAATTCCTAATTTGTTAAGATACGGGTGGGAGAGGGTCCTTTCCTTTGGTGGGTAGGGGTCAGTGATGGGTGCTGAGTTTCCATGGAATATTTTTATGTATTGATTTGATTCCCATAGCTGGCTGCATCAGCTGGATTTTTCTGGCGAAAGGGATTTGTCGTCCACGGAACTCTATATTTATTTATTAAATTGGCAATCAGTTATATATATATATATATATATTTGCTTTCTTCTTTTATCGTAGGTTTTGTGTGTATTTTTTTTTTAATGTATTTTTCTTCAACCGGGTATTTTCCTATGTAACCAAGTTTGCAGCCATAGCTCAGTGAAATATCATCCACATATCAGTGATAGTGGATGTGATTTCACTGACTATGGCTGCAAACTTGGTTACGTAGGAAAATACCCGGTTGAAGAAAAATACATATCATGTGTGTGTGTGTGTGTGTGTGTGTGTGTGTGTGTGTTTGTGTGTGTGTGTGTGTATTGTCAGATTAGCCAAGTGCTGGCAAAAATAATTCCCAACTCACTCGAGAACATATGCAATGCAAACGGATACAAAACAAAGTTAGAATTTATTTATTTCTCTGTTCATTGCTGTGAGCAATGCATAAATCAAAGAAAATGCATTAAAAATGTGTGTGTGTGTGTATATATATATAGGCATATATATATATATATATATATATATATAGGCATATAATCCATATTTTTTTATTTAAACAGAAGTATCAGCCTAGAGCCAAAGCTCTCTGGATAGTTTACAATAAACACATAGAAAAGAAACAACAACAGAAAAAATACAATTTGAATGCAATTCTGAATCTTAAATTAATTTTAATATTTTAATGTGAATGTTGTTGTTTATATATTAATTCCATGGTACGTCCCTCTCTGAGAAAGACGGGTGGTTAAGAAATAGGAAATATGAAATAAATCAAATCAATATCAAATCAAAATCAATACGATATCAAATCAAAGTCAATTCAGAGTCATCTTACAAAACGGGGAGCAGAGAGGTGATATAGCCAAATCTAAAATATTGTTTCTAGAGCATTTCAGCACTTGCAAAGACTCGGATTTCAGGAGGAGCCGATGGAAAATACGAGCTCTGTGTGCCAGATTAATAGCTATAAATACGATTGAAATAAAGTTTCTGAAGCTTAAATTAATTTTCATATTTTAATGGGAGTGTTATAGGTTGTTCATATATACTGCTCAAAAAAAATAAAGGGAACACAAGCAGAAGATATGTGAGATCTGAATGAATGAAATAACCTTATTGAAATAGCTTAAATTAATTTTCATATTTTAATGGGAGTGTTATAGGTTGTTCATATACACTGCTCAAACAACTAAAGGGAACACAAAACTACTGTATGTAACGAACAAAGTATTTAATAAGGCTATTTCATTCATTCAGATCTCGGATGTCTTCTGCTTGTGTTCCTTTTATTTTTTTGAGCAGTGTATATTGATTGCATCGTATGCCGTCCTTAGCCCCTCTCTGAGAGAGATGGACAGTGAAGAAATAAAACATCTAAATAAATAACAGATCGACTCAAACATAATAATGCAAAGTCATCTTACAAAACAGATAAGAGAGTGAGGGGACAAGTCAGATCTAAAAGACTGTTTAATGAACACACCATTCGAATGCGATTAAAAGAAAATACCCCCTTCCCAAATAGTCACACGTCCGAAGCGTTCTTAGAAGACAGCATGATGAAATAAGATTAAAATGTCAACCGTCGTCCCAAATTTTAACATTCAGTGTCTCCTGTTGGGCACCGCAACATGGACAAAAATCCTGCAGAAATCTGTTTTGCCTGCACTGCTGACTGTCAAGCAAAGTGACCGCCCGATCTAAAACATCATTTTTAATTAATATACAATTCAATAACAATTAACTAAAATAGCCCCTGTACATTCATATACAGGTGGTCCTCGACTTGCAACTGTTTAGTGACCGTTCGAAGTTACGGCGCCACCGGAAAAAGTGATTTATGACTAGTTTTCCCACGTACGACCGTTGCAGCGTCCCCGTAGTCACGTGATCAAACTTCAGGGCTCGGCAACTGGCATGTACTTATGACGGCTGCAGTGTCCCCTTTTGTGACCTTTCGACAAGCAATGAGGAAGCCAGATTCACTTAACAACCTGTGTTAGTAACTTAATAACGGCAGTGATTCCACTTAACAACTGTGCCAAGAAAAGTTGTAAAAACGGGGCAAAACTCCCTTAATCAATTTTTTCACTTAGCAGTGAAAAATTTGGGCTCGACTGTGGTCA